TTCAACTACCGTGTGTAAAGAAGAAATTATATTTTTAACTTATTTTCTTTATATACTTAACCTAACCACCATAATGTTAAAKTCCGTGKTATTAGATGTACAATTTTCATATTGTAAATAACATTTTTTCCCAGTAGAAACTAAATCATGTATAGTTACATAAATCCAAATTGATAGTACATACATTTTAAGAAGAAATTAAATTTTGTAAAAACTGAGGCTACTACCACAAATATAACTTAATATTTTTTACTATGTATAATGTATATCCCAGTTCCACAAAAATGTCAATTAGCAATGCACGCAGATGATACTGTTATCTTAACCCAACATAAAACCTTGAAAACTCAATAACAGATCTACAAAATTTCTTTAGACCAAACTTCAAACTGGTTTATAAAATGGAAACTCGCTCTAAACCCTATCAAGAGCAAATCGAAAATATTCACCCTAAAGAGATATACAAATCCAACTCAATTAAAAATCAAAAATCAGCCGATATTATGTCTCGCGGCATCCTTTTTTGAAATAAGGGGTTTACATGGTGCTCCTCATAAAAAAAAAAATAAAAAAAAACCAGAACAATTTGTAATATATACTATGAAAATATTTATTTAGTTGTAGTTATACAAATGTTATAAGACATTAGTTATATTAAGATTTAGGTATGTATTTATTTGTAAATATTAAATTAATATGGGGTGAATGATAACATTGATAACATTCTACGGCAGCGCGGCACCCCTGTAAAGACATTACGACGAGGTGCACAGTTGAGAAACTGCTGTCTTACACGATGAAAAAAAAGTGTGAGTATAAGTTAATATACGGTAAAAAAAAAGACAGCATGAACTGCCTGGAAAGCGATGCCGCCCATGGCCGGGATTCTAAATCCGCCCGGCCACTACACCCCCTGCTACTATATTGATTCAATTATGCAGTAGGTAACTAATTTTTATTTATTTTGTTTTTCGTACAATTACACAGTTACTTGGCATATCTGTTTATTATSGATAAAGATTTATTTTCTTTATTTTTAAGATTTCTTATAGTTATTTGATGTTGTAGCCCAAAGACCATATAGGTGGCGTCTCAAGTCAGTAATGAGGAGTACTATGATAAATATATCTTAGTAACCTCAAAAGTGTTGGGTCATTCATTAATGGAGGTTATCATAGGATATACAACCTCTCATTCTCACGTGAAAAATCATATTGCTTTGATACTAGACTAACTTTAGATGAATTGAAAATCTTATACTCCCTAATAAATKACAGTTCAACACTTCAGATCAAATTCTCACTTCTTATTATATACGCATCAATAATAAGACCATTAATTACATACGTATGTCCAATATGGGCAGTCGCATCCCAAACAAAAATTATAAACGATACAAAACAAATTTCTCAGAATAGCTCTTAAAGTCCCATGGTACATGCGAAACACACAACTTCACAACGGCACTGGAATACTATACCTAACCACATGGACCAAAGAGCAATTTAAAAAATTTCATTCGAAATTAAAAACAATAGAAGGTGCCCTTCACTTAAACAGTTAATGTAAACCTYCAAAGTTCAAAATAATTTAGTTAAATATAACATTCAATACGAAATAAAATATTGTATACCTATGTATATAATATCTTTTCCACATACCACTAAATGGTATTAAATTATTTTTGGCAAAACTTTACAGTTTCATGATATGACACATGTAAATATAAATCTGCAACATATAATCGTATACCTAAAGAATTTAAATACAGGATATTATATAATAATTGTGTACTGATGTTCATTCATACGTGCGCACACAGAATATTAAGCTTTAAACGTGAAATTATGATATTCTCGCACCCGTCGCACCCTACATATGAGGTCTGTGGATGTCAATGACGTCGCCTATTTGTATGCAAAATTAATATGGTGGTCAGTTGTAATTATACAATGTCCCTCAATAATATTAAAATAAACTGTTACACGGAGTATGGTTATTATATAATGGGTATGTASACAATGTTCTCGGTGTTTTTAAAATATAACAAACAATAATAAACAATATTTAGTATAATAATCGTAATACAGATTGTGCCGCAGAGTTTGAAATTTTATATTAAATATCTGAAAGCTTAACTTAAATCAAATGCCATTGTGTTCGACTTCGAAAAGCCACAATGAATGAAACTGTTTCTTGCGTTAATAGAAAAATTTGTTTTAGCTTATAGTGGACTTTAAGATTAATATTTTAACATTTCGAATTGTATTTACACCTATAACAATTAACGACTATGGCATACTTTAGCAATGTTAGCTTATATGCTACTGAAAATAATTTTATTTCATTCCTTATTAAACCATAACGTATTTAGTTTGTTATTTAATCATGATTTTATTTATTTACATATTTTATACAAAATGTTGTTCATTAAAACGATGTATTATTATGTTTTTACAATATTATAATATATATATATAATGGCGAAATGATTGATCATAAGCCACAAAATTTCACGTAAATTAAAGGAAAATATAAATCTATCGAAAAAAAAACTTAAAGCAGAAAATGTAATGTGAAAAAAAAAATCGATAGACCTTTAATTATCACCAGGTATAATAAACAATAATATCTTACAATTGAACACCAACCTCCTACTTTCGCATTATAAGCAACGCCTACACCACACTTTGTATTATTTGCAGCCATAGCAATTTCTCCAGCACATCTAGTACCATGATAATTTGTTGGATCTTCATACCTAGGCATAGGATCCTTTTTATTCCAGTTCAAGTTAATACTGATTTCTTCGTCCTAAAATAAACGTTTATGATGTACATAATTAACAATAAAATAAAATGAAATGATAATTTGAATTTTTATAAACAAGTTTGAAAAATTAAAAACATATTGTAAATAGATAAAATGCATTTTAATTAAAACTTATTTTTTTTTTTTTTTATCATTTATTGGATCATACACATACAAAAAGCAAATGCATGAAAAAAAAAATGTATGTTTATATTAAACAAGACGTCATCGAAACGTGAATAAAGAAGTCATCCAGCGCTAACACTCAGACGCAAATGGTTATATGATTAGACTATATATTTTATACTTAAAATAAATTTAAATTTAAAAAAAAAATACAAACARAGAAACCGAAAAAGCTTGAAATGATTTTAATTATTATTCAGTTATACGAAATAATTAATCTTTTGGGATAGGTATTACGTACGCAGTCAAGACGGTATTTTATCATGTAGGGCTGTAGATTATTAAAGTACATAATGTGAAATATTAATGACTGTTTCTGACTTATACAGAAGTAATTTTTAAATTATATTCACATTATTTATAGTTCAAAGTATTCCTACAAGTTAAAATATTTAATACGCATATATAATATACGATAGTCGCTAAGTATAATAAGATGTTCTGAGCAAAATTGAAATATTTGTATTACACAGTTTTATCACGATTATTAAAATCACAAAACAAATTTAGTACCTAAATGTTTACTGATGATAAATAATTTTTCATTTTTCATTTATAATAATAATATATTGCGCTGGTGGACAACTGAAAATATTTTTATAGAAAACTCCTATTAAAACACYCTAAAAGTGTCTAGTTGTCGTGCGACGAACAGTTGTCAACAGAATGTACAGTTCCTGCAGTAACACATTTTTATATTCCTTTAGCCGAAATCCAAAAAGAATTGCTAAGAAATTTTTACGATGTATTTTAGAATTTTAGAGACAACCGWTTAATATAATAGATATACTAAACGGGTGAAAAATACATTTCTACGCGTCATACGTTTGAATTACTCAAATAGAGCAAAACGGCTTATACCTATACACGATTTGTGAAGCATACCTACCAGTTTCGATTTTTAATGATTATTGAATTTTTATCGTAATAATTTACCGCGATAATGAACGGATAACGTGCGCCAAGGAATTTGCATAAAATCTTTGTAACTAAATCCATTATTATTCCTTAATTATTACACGTATAAAATATTTCATATGCATATATCGTTTAAGTGTTCGTTTTTGCTCATAGATAAATTGTTACAGTTCACAATATTATATTTTATGCATTATAATAATATTATGTTTAATAKGTATATCCAAAAATTAGTAAAAGTGATATTATTTTAACGAGAATTTTTATGATGTTTGTCAATAAAAAATGTATGATATTATTCACCTCGTCTAGCTATCTCAGAAGTAGCATGTTGTAGGTATAATTAAACTTAAACATTTATGTATGATTAATAATGCTATTATTTCAAAATATTGCACTTCAGTGTCTATATGAGATATAAATCTTTATGCATTATTTGTCTAATGTGCTTTTATTTATTT